TTCCAGAGTCACTGTATTCACTTGCCTATTTTACTTGTGATGTTTAATATGAACCTTCAGCTTATTCAAAATTGAGCTTTTGGTCTTCGACCCTTGATTCTTCCTATAGTCTTTCCTTACTGAATTAATGGCAACTATTATTTTTCCATTGCTACTAGAAACCTCTAAAGTCATTCTTTGCCCCACACCTCTAAGATATCCTTGATTTCTGTCTCTTGACATCCCAAGGTAGATCCTTCAGGGAATCCTGTGAAATCTATCTTCTAAACATATTTACATCTGGCCACTTCTTTTAACCTCTCTTAGACCCACCCTGGTCCAGACCACCATTCTCTTTTCCCCTGGATTACAGGGTTTATATACTTAGCTCTTTGCTTATGCCCCTTCCCACTCTGTGGTCTGCTCTCAGATCAGGCCCGGGACAAGAGTTATCTTGTTAAAATTAAGTCATATATGGTACTCTAATAGCTCTCTGTTTTCATTCATAGTAAGAACCAAAGTCCTTATTTTAAGACTTAAGAAGTTCTACACAGTGTGTCTCTATGCTGTTAACTCTGCCCTTATCTCATAGTGCTCTTTCCATCATTCTCTCTGATCTAGGGATATTGGTTTCCTTCCTGGTCCTGGAATTGCCAGATTGCACTCAGTTCAGGGCCTTTGAGTGTGCTATTCTATCTGCTTAGTATATTCTTCCCTTAGGTAATCATCTGTAAGGCTTTCTCTCTGACCTCTTCCAGGTCTTCATTCTCAATGAAACCATCCCCAGTTCCCTAAAATTTTAGTCTCTTTTAGTCTCTTTAATATCCTTTGTGCTTATTAACTTTTTCTCCTTAACACTTAAGGATTATATAACATACTATATACTTAATTTCTTTTTCTTTTTTATACTCTATCTCCCTCATGAGGACAGGGATTTTTATTTGTTTTGGTCACAGCCAATGCCTAGCACATAGTAAGCATGCAATATATATATCCTGGATAGAATAAATGAAAGGATTTAGGTAGTTTTCAGGTTTGTAGTTAATATATTACCTCATTTTTATGGGATTTTCTTGTGTCTTGAAGAAAAGTGTTGGAATTGATGGTATGAATGAATTTCTATTTACATACTGACCTTATTTTAAATTGTTCTTCCAAAGCTGAGGTGCCGTTGCTCTGAATTACTTACACTGAAAATTCCTTGTAATATTTTATGAAGTTCTGATTATAGTCATTGTTTCTTTTAATTACTTGATTCTGTTTCATTCTTACTTTTCTGTACAGTGAATCTTCTCATCTGTTGTACCTGTTGGAACACACCTGGAAAGATGCCAGGTTCATTTTGCAGATCATGTGTGAGCTAAATGTTCTTCCATTAGCATTGCAGATCACTAACATCGCTGGGAACATTATGGTAAATTTAACTTAGAAAGGGGGAAAAAGCATTTCCTGTTGGATTCAGTGTTTGCTTGGGGTAGTTGTTATATGATAATGAGTCTAAATGCATGCTTATAAAATGAGTAACTTGGATTCTGAAAGCTGGGCTTCTTTTGTAAAAGGAAGAACTGGTTGAGAGAAGGGGAGGAATGCCAGGTGCAGTGTGTTGAAATTTGGATTTTCTCTCTAACATCTGGATGTGTCTGTCTGGTGGAGTGGTCCATTTGGCAGTAAAGAAATAGCCTAGTTGTCAATATTTTAAGTTCTCTTTGTCTCCTTTAACTATAATGCTTAAAGAAAATGTTAGAAATAATTTTTTTCACTACATAAGAGATCCTCAAAAATAAATAAAACAACAAAAAAGAAAT